GGGGGGGGGTGGACTGAGGTGGGCAGAGGGGGGTGGGGTGGGCTGGACTGGGCGGACAGAGGGAGGTGGGGTAAATTGTTCTAGGGGCAGGGGACGTAAGGTGGGTTGGACTGGGAGGCAGAAGGAAGTGGGGTGAGTTGGACAGGGGACAGAGGGAGGTGGGGCGAGTTGGACTGGGGTCAGAGGCAGGCGGAGTAGGTTGGTAGGGAGATAGAGGGGTGATGGATGCTGGGGGTCCAGTGGTAGGTTCCAGTGACTCTTAGCTTCACTCAGCTCTGGGTGGGAGAGTCTCAGAAACATTGAGGAAAGCCTCTTCTTTTCCTTCCTGGCATCCTTGAAAAGCAGATCTAGTGAGAAATCCAAATTCCCTGGGAAGAACAGGAGAAGGAAAAGTGGCCTTATAGGGGAAGTGGGGCAGGGTGGCGAGGGGGGCAAAAAGACCCTTTGGGCAGAGGACTTGAGCCTTGGCCTGAGCTAATGATACCTCCTCCCTTCGTCTGATGGGTGGGAGAGGAGGGCGCCCATTCTGAGGTTCAAGAAACTGAGGGGTTAAGATAGGAGCGAGAGTGTCCCTTGGTCTCTTTCTTCTAGTAAAACAGTAATGTATGTTTCATATAAAATTCAAACAGGACAATAATAGGCAATGTAGAAGTGCTGGTTCCCTGCAGCCTCACCCTCCAGAGATAACCACTGTTATCACTGAGGTATGTGGAATGTGACCAGTGGGGCCCAGGAAAGGATGTCTGCCCCAGCAAAGGATGTCTGTTTCAAGGTCCTAAGTTAGGGCTGCTTTGGGGCTGCAGTCCGTGAACTTCTCTTTTGCCCTATCTCCCAGGATCTTCCTGTGCTCAATGGGGCCGGTTCAGGTTTAGAGAAAGTGAGTAGGGCTTGGCCTTTAAAGAGTTAAAGGGCAGGCCCAAGGTGGACGTTTGGTTGAGAAAGTAGGTGTGAGGATGGTGATGCCGACTCATAGGTCTTTCTTTTTCTTTTTTTTTTTTTTTTTGAGTTGGAGTCTCACTCGGTCGCCCAGACTAGAGTGCAGCGACTGCTCCCGGCCACCACAGCCTTGACCTGCTGGGCTCGGGCGATCCTTCCGCCTCAGCCTTCCGAGTAGCCGGAACTACAGGCGCACGCTGCCACACCCGGCTAATTTTTTGATTTATTGTAGAGATGAGGTCTCGCCTGCCCAGGCGAGTCTCGAACCTGCGGGCTCAGGCACTCCCACTCACCTCAGCCTCCCAAAGGCGCGGGATGACAGGCTGAGCCACTGAGTCCGACTTAGGTCTTTCCTTCCTTCTTTTTTCTCCTTCATTCCTTCCTGCTTTCTTGCTATCTTTCTGCTTTCTTTCAGTCAGGGTCTCACTCTGTCACCCAAGCTGGGGTTTAGTAGCACCATCACAGCTCACCACAGCTCCTCGACCTCCTAGGCTCAGGCAATCCTGCCTCAGCCTCCCAAGTAGCTAGGACTACAGGCACATACCACCATGCCTAGCTAATTTTTATTTTATTTTTTTGTAAGAGCAAGGTTTCACTATGTTGCCTAGATTGGTCTTGAACTCTTGGGCTCAATCATTCCTCCTGCCCTAGCCTCCCAAAGTGCTGGGATTACAGGTGTGAGCCACCATTCCTGGCCTGTAGCCTTCTGGATTGTCTTCTTTCATGTATGCATTTAAGATCCTTCCATGTCGGTTCATGGCTTGATAGCTCACTTTTTATCATTCCATAATATTCCATTGTTTGAATGTATCCAGTATCCAGTCACCTACTGAAGGACATCCTGGGAGCTTCCTAATTTTGACAATTGTGAATAGAACTGCTGTAAACACTTGTGTGCAGGTTTTTCTGTGGACGTTACTTTCACCTCAGGGCAAATTCCAAAAGGCGCAATTGCTCCTTGTATTGTAAGAGCTTGTCTGTTTTTCTAAGAAACTGCCAATCCATGCACGAGTAGAGTGGGCCCCACCCACCCTGTGCAGTGGTCCTGAGTGTTATTTTCTTTGTGTGTCTTTGGGAAGTGCGCAGTGGGAAGAACTTGGGCTTTGGAGTGATGAAAACCTGACTCTGTCTCCCTTCTCTTTTACCAACTGCTTGTTTTGGGATGAGTTATGTTACCACCGAGGCTCCACTTCCTGATCTGTACCATGGGGGTGGTGCCTCTTGCCTGTCCTGCTTCTTATGAGGTGTAGATGGGAGTGAAGTAAGAACCTTCGCCCTAGCCCTGGTTGTAACACACAGCAGATATGCATGCTGTTCCTCCTTCCTGGGTCTCTTCCTGAAGGTCTCTTTCAGCTGTTCTTGTCTGCTCCTTCATCTTGCAGAGATGTTTTTGGCAGGGCTAGGGGCAAGTCAGTGCCTGAGTACTGTGTGTGTGTGTGTCTGTCTGTGCATGCACTAGCATTCCTGTGTTCCTGGCCGTGGGCCTCTGGGTGAGCTGCTCTTTTCTGGGCTCACTGGTGACTCGGAGGAGACTGTTAGACGGGGCTGGTCAGAGGAAATGATGTAAACGGGAAAATGTGGGTTGGCCTGTCTGTACCAGGGGCCTGAAAATGTGGGGCGGGGGAGCCCGGCCTTGCCTCTCTGGCCTCAGAGCTTAGGATATAGGGGGGATGGGACAGAGAGGAGGTCTCTGCACTCTAGGGGAAGGTGCTGGGGTGCGAGGGGGTATGATGTGGTTACTGCTGCCCTGCCTGGTGACATTCAAGGAGCTTCTCCCACTCAGGATGTGGTTTTCTCCATCACGGGAATATTTTGGATAGTTTCTCAGCTACGTCTGAGGCCTGGAAGCCTGGCCCGTGTGTCAGAGCAGGGGCCTGTGGGTAGAGACTGTCAGTGACTCCCAAAGCAAGGAGCAGCTCTGGGAGGTGCCTGGCACTGGGGGGCCGGGGGGGGGGGGGGGGGGGGGGGGAGCCAGGCTCCCGGGGCCTGTGACGGAGCTCTGCTCGCTCCCCTCTTCTCGCAGGTGGTACAAGCTGCACTCCAAGGCAGGCAAGAAGGAGAAGGAACGCGGAGAAATCCAAGTCACCATCCAGTTCACACGCAATAACTTGAGCGCCAGCATGTTTGACCTGTCCATGAAGGATAAACCACGATCCCCCTTCAGCAAGATCAAGGACAAGATGAAGGGCAAGAAAAAGTATGACCTGGAATCTGCCTCCGCCATCCTCCCAAGCAGCGCCCTAGAGGACCCCGAGCTAGGCAGTCTGAGCAAGATGGGCAAAGCCAAAGGCTTCTTCCTTCGCAACAAGCTGCGCAAGTCATCCCTGACCCAGTCCAACACCTCGCTGGGCTCAGACAGCACCCTGTCCTCAGCCAGTGGGAGCCTGGCCTACCAGGGGCCTGGCGCCGAGCTCCTCACCCGCTCGCCGAGCCGCAGCAGCTGGCTGTCCACCGAAGGGGGTGAGTGAGCGAGGGGCCGCTGCCCTGGGGAGGGTGGAGGAGGGGAAGGCTGGCCCTCCCTCCAGTAGGGAGAAAGCCTGGGCCAGGAAACAGGGCTTCTCTTCCTTTGTGCTGACTCCATGTGTGCTTCCTCCTCAGGCAGGGATTCAGCACAGTCCCCCAAGCTGCTCACCCACAAGAGGACCTACAGCGACGAGGCCAGCCAGATGCGAGGGGCTCCTCCTCGGGCCCTGCTCGACTTGCAGGGTCACCTCGATGCTGCCTCCCGCTCGTCCCTCTGTGTCAACGGGAGCCACATTTACAATGAGGAGCCTCAGGCTCCTGTGCGGCACCGTAGCTCCATCTCGGGCTCATTCCCTCCCTCCAGCTCCCTGCACAGTGTCTCCTCCCGGCCCTCTGAGGAGGGGCCTCGGTCTGCAGATGACTCCTGGGGCAGAGGCAGCCGCAGCAACAGCAGCTCAGAGGCGGTGCTTGGACAGGAAGAGCTGAGTGCTCAGGCCAAAGTGCTGGCCACTGGGGCCGGCCGCTCTGGAGACGAGGAGGGGGCCCGGCTTCCAGAGGGCAAGCCCGTCCAGGTTGCCACACCCATTGTGGCCTCCTCTGAGGCTGCAGCAGAGAAGGAGGGAGCCCGGAAGGAGGAGCGAAAGCCCCGGATGGGCCTCTTCCACCATCACCACCAGGGGTTGAGTCGGAGCGAGCTGGGGCGCCGAGGCTCTCTGGGGGAGAAAGGGGGCCCCACGCTTGGAGCCTCTCCTCACCACTCCTCCAGTGGGGAGGAAAAGGCCAAGAGCAGCTGGTTTGGCTTGAGAGAAGCCAAGGAACCAACTCAGAAACCCAGGTACGTCCTTGGCAAGACCAGCTTTGCCCCTTGGGAAAGACGCTGGGGTGTTTGCAGCCTTGACCCTGGGGCAGGGAGGACAGAGCCCTCAGGCAGGCTGCTGGGGCTCTGGCTTTGCATGGTTAAGTGGGAGTACCCTGTCTCCCTGAGCTAAGGCTCGTTCTGTGTGCATGGACACAGGTGAGTTGCAAGGGCACAGTGCTCCATGGGTCCTTGCTGCATGAGTTGGCATGCCTGCCCCTGATAGAAGCTGGTCATAGGAGAAAGGCCATTTGTGCGAATTCTTTGCCTCCTGACCTCCACCCCTTGCCCTCTGTCCTCAAGGTAAGGACGGCTTGGCAGGTAGAGAGATGGGGACTGTACCCTCAGGTTTCTCCCATCCTCTCTGAAGCTGGAGGACTTCCCCCAGCCAGCCTTGTAATCTCTTTCCTTTGAGAGCTGGGAGTCAAATAATTGACACCCAATTGATACCCCCACCCCTCCCGCATACACTCACCCCCAGTTGCTTCCCAGCCTGGCAGAAAGAAGACTGGGCGGCTTCTCTGGAATCTGTAACCCATTCTCTGTCCTTGGAGACCTTGGGGACTCAAGCACTCTCTGGGGTCTCTTGGTCTTAGGGTGGGGTGGTAGCTTGGCACTCTCAGAAGTGCTGATGGTGGCTGCTCTGTTTGAAAAGTGTTGAGTCTCCCAGCTCAGGCCTTGGGCAGGGTCTCTGACTCCCACCGTGGCTCCTTTGTGTCCTCCTAACTCTGAGCCAGGGGAGGTTGCTGTGTCATGTGGCAGGTCCAGGGAGGGACTCCAGGAACAGGTCACAGAGGCAACCAAGGGCCTGGGGCCAAGGCCCTGATAGGAAGCAACTGTGATGGTTCCAGCCAGTGTAGTAAGGGATGTTGTTTTTGTGCTCTCAGCAAGCCTGTCCACCCTCCTCCGTGGATGTGTGGACAGGAGGGGCAGGAGTGGGCACAGAGGTGAAGGGTCAGAGATAGAGCAGAAGGAAGACCCTAAACTTGTTCTCTGGCAGAGGGGAGAGGACTCCTGTAGTCTTGGTTCTTCCCTTTCCCTGTGGCATTCTGAGTCTGCTGAGGGGAGTGGGGAGGGAAATGCAGGCCTTTCTGGGTCCTTTCTGGGCAGTCCTCCTTAAAGCCTCATAGATGAGGGATTGGGAATACCACCCTCTGCCTCCCCTGCTTGGTACAGCAGCTCCTGTCCCTACTGCCCATCCCCTACTCACCAGAGCTTAGGGCAAGATTGAGAAGAAGGAGACTGGCCTCTCCCAGATGCCCAGGCTGAGCCTGGTGACCCTGTGACAGCCAGAGGTATTTGGAGGTGGTAGGATAGAGGAAGGTGGCAGGAGACCTGGATGGGGCACTTGCTGAGAGGAGCTTGGGGCCTGGGTCAGAAGGGTCACAGGCCATGGACTCAGTATGGTTGTCTGCAGGATGTCTCTGGGACTTTTCCAAGGCAGAGCAGATGCTGGGGACATGTCTGTGGGGCCATCTGTAGACTGAGTGGCCAGGCTTTGGGCTTGGAGTCCTCCAGGCTTTGGGCTTGGAGTCCTGCAAGGACTGTGAGTGCTGCGGGGCATCACTGTCCTTGGGTTCTTGCAGTCTCTTTTCCTTCTCCTGCTTGTCTGTGTCTCCTAATGGCCTCTCAGAGTTCAGAGAATTTGTCACTGATGGCTGTGAGAAGCTGGGGTTTTTGTCCTGCTCACACTTGAATTTTGAGCCATGTCCTTGACAGGCTGGAGGACATCTGGCATCCCTGCCTCCCTGGGGCCCATTTGCAGGTGGCGGCTGTAGAGCCAGGCTCTGTGGCCACGCATCTGGGTAGGGAGGGAGAGCCTTTTCTTTGGGCAAGGTGACTTGACCGGAGAGATGTGACACCTGTTCCAATGTGCCTTGAGGGAAGGGGGAAGCTGGCCTGGAAGAAAGGACTGTTGGTGCTTGCCCAGAGGGCCTGCTTACATCAGGGGGCTGTAGGTTAGATCCAGAAGTGGAGTGACTGGATGTAGCTGCAGGATATCCAGCTGCAGCCTGGGGAGCCTGTCCACAGATTCAGAGATTTGGGGGGCCTCTGCCCTGGAGCCACCATCGCAGATTGCTGGATGTTCCTCACAAGCAAGGACAGCGGCGCCCTCTAGTGCTCTTGTGTGGCAGTGATGCCCCATAGAGAGGCCTGAAGCAGAGCAGGAGTGCAGTGTCCAGAACAAGGCTGCTACTGTTGGACAGTCATTGCCTGGGTGGACGAAATGAGGGCAAGAAGGGTTGAGAAGAGGGTCCTCCCGATCCTCTGACACGGCCCTCATCTGCTGGGTCCCAGGGAGGTGACACTAGGCCCCTAGTGTGATGTGTTGGAGTGGGAGTTGGACTAGGTCTTGGCTGGGCCACGGGACTCAGCCCTGCTCCCCAGCCCTGCTGTGAGCCCCTCTGAGCTGCAGCACTGGCTGCTTCACATGTGTCTGAGAGCAGGCAAGACCATGTGTGTCAAACCTGCCAGTCCCAAAGCAGATTGTCCTTGTGTCGATCCCAGGTCATCCTTGTGCTCCCCTACCCCTCCCTCTCACACTAACCAAATGACTTTGTGCTCAGAAGGGGATCAAACACTAAATGCAAAAACCTTTTAAGTTGGTTTTAAGTGTGGCACAGTACAGAGGTGAGTGCATTGTGATGGTAGCCTTCAGCAATCTCTGCAACTCCCTAGCCCCTCACCAGGTTTGGTGGATGACAAGGGCCCAGTGGACCCCCTGGAATGTACTGGGTGGCTGAAAGAGCGCAGAGTCTCAGGCTGCATTCCTGGTGGGGTAAATGAAAAACTGTAATGTCTGCCCAGTGACTTGGAGTTAGTGTAGCCTTACTTCCTGCTTGTGCTTGCCTTCCTAGCATCGTCACTATATCAACAGTGTTCTGGTTTGGAAGATAAACGGTATGGTCTCCCTACTTACCGCTTACAGGGTCCCTCTCTGCCACTTCATTGTGCCAAGATGGTGGGAAAGGATGAGTCTGTCTCCTGGACATGTTGCTTGTACATTGGGCACATCCGTTAGGAGGGATGGCTGGAGGGCATGTTGCTGGGGGTGGGCATGCCTCCAAGGCTGGCTTTGGCCTCTTTAGGGACTGCTTGGAAGAGCCTGTGTACATCCACTTGCCACCTCTGGGACCACCATGTGGAAATTATAAGGACACAGAGCTCCTCTCAGCCTAAGGAAGAGCTGTCCACCAGGGACACCAGGCCTCTGGCTACAGAGGTAGCCCTGTGGTGTAGTGTTTAAGAAAAGGAGGCTATTGGAGGGGACAGGTGATTCCTGCATTGAGTGGCAGGTTCAACCAGTTGTTCCAAGCTTCCTGCAGGCCTGAAAGCTTTTTTCCCTTAGGTTGAAGGGACAGAGACATTTGAACTTCTGATTTCTTTCCCAGCATTTGGTCTCAAAAGAGAAGACAAACCAGCATATGTTGCCATCCCTGCTGCTTAGGGGTGGGGAGTCTCTGCCAGCCTGGCACCATGGGCTCTAGGACACAGAGGTGTTTATTTGTTCTCAAAGTACAAACTGCAAAGATAACCACACACGAGAATGTGTCCCTGACCTGGGCCAGATGGAGTGGTAAGGAGAAGATGTTCTGAAGTGAAAAACCTTCAGAATGTGTACTTGGTGTGGAGAAAGGGAAGAAAGGCATGAATGAGGGGAGTGTTGCCTGATAGGAGGATGAAGAGGGCGCTCTCAGAGGTGCCACCAGCTCTGGGAAGCCTGCCCAGCCCGGTGCCTAGCTCCCCTTCCTCCAGGGAAAGCCCTTTGCTGACTCCATACCAACAGGTTCACATGCACCTCAGGGGAGCCAGTGGGGAGAGGGAGGTTGCCAAGCCTAGCCCTGGGCTCCTAGTCTACCCCCTTGCTGCTCTTGTTCCTGTAGTTCTCACTGCCAGCCAGGTTGCTGTGGGACGGCAAGGGTGACTGCGGGGCCAGATAGGACTGAGAGGGTGTGGAGTGAAGCTTGGTGGAGCTAAGTAAGCTTCATGTGTATGGGATGCTTTCCCTCAGATCACTGTGATCTCTGGCCATAACAGGGCCTGGGGAGGGAGTTATCTTGGGAGTGCCCCAACCCTGTTCCTGGAGACCTGAGACCTTCTGACATGGATGCTCTGATGGTGTGTGGGCTGAGGGCAGGGCATTGGCCTACATGGTGGTGGTGTGCTGCTCCCCATGGTCTTGGCCCGGGGCCTGTCTGGAATGAAGGGAGGTGGGAGTCTGGGCTCAGAATTCTCCTCCTCTTTCAGTATCTTTGTGATGTCCATAGAAGCAGAGTGGTGCTGGGAAGCCTGGTGGGGTGGGAGCGGATGGGAATGTTTACTCTCTCCTCTCCATCTCTAGGTGGAGGGATTAAGACTGAGAATTCGCCCTTGGATGGGGAGTTCTTATGTGGGAAAGATAGGGTCAGGAGAACCTCTGGAAACTGATTCTTGTGAGAAATTCATGGGTTTAGGACCTGGCTGTGCCCTGCTTATGAGGCTAGCCTCCCTCCTCCCCCACCATCTTTGGGAGCCCTCTGTGCCTTGGATGAGTTGGACTCCTTCCTGTTATCTGCCCTTGGTGTTTGCCCAGGAGCGAACCCGACCTTGGCCCAGCTCTATGTGGGCTTGCCCTTTTTGGGCCCTTGGTTCCCTGGAGAATCCTGGCAAGTTCCAGAGTTTGGCCTCTTCACACAGGGACTTCTGTCCCAAGCCATATTCCTCATGGGCTGGCTGGAGAAGCTTGGCTTCTGCCCCTTCAGGGCTCACTGCCTACATTTCCTGTAGAAGGAGCTGGTTGGGTGGAAAAACTAGAAATGTAGGAGTTTCACCTGGATGTTTCCACCTGGCAGGAAGGGGTCAAGGAATGAGGGTCTCGGGAGCCTAGAGTTAGGGGTGGGGGACTGGCTGTGAGGGGGAAGACTGCTCAGATAGCAGAGGGCGAGGCCACCAGGATCTGACTCTGACAGGTGGGCCCAGCTGTCTGGCAGCTGCAAACC